TCCTCAGTGATCTTTCATGCCACTGACCTATCCACTTTTTGGCCTTCTTCATTCCAGAGTTCGCACCTTCCCAAAAGAGTCCCACCTGGGCCACGACACAGTCCGAGCCCTGATGTACTATGCCCTGAAGGTCTGGAGTGACATTACCCCTCTGAATTTCCATGAAGTGGCAGGAAACAACGCTGACATCCAGATAGACTTCTCCAAGGCAGATCACAATGATGGCTATCCCTTTGATGGGCCTGGTGGGACGGTGGCACATGCTTTCTTCCCTGGAGACCACCACACAGCAGGGGACACTCATTTTGATGATGATGAGTATTGGACCTTCCGATCATCAGGTAGGTCTGAGTGGGAGAGCTGCAGCCAAGCACAAGGGGACCTAGTTTCCCTCCTCTGTTCTGATGGTTAGACTGGTTTAGCCTCTGTTGCACCTGTACACCAGGCTCAGGGATCCCAACAGGGGACCTAGTTTCCCTCCTCTGTTCTGAGGGTTAGACTGGTTTAACCTCTGTTGCACCTATACACCAGGCTTGGGGATCCCAACACCTTCTGGTTCCCCCCTCAGCCTGGCTAGCAAAATGATAACAGGACCTTCTGTATTCCTGGAAGCCTCAACAGCATCTCCATGTTTCTCCCCATCATGTCAGCAGCTGCAGAGCTCCCCATTGTCCACCCAGAGTCCCCATCTCTTCTGGGACCTGGAAGGTCACAATTTGGCTGTGTGGCTGTTGGAGCTTTTAGATGGCAACTGTGTTCTCTGACTTTGGCTTTTGGGTGGCTTTACTGCCACATGTCCCACTTTCCTATTTTTAAAGCTTATTACAAGCTGACCTACCTGGAAAGGGCTCGGTGTTCTGCAGGAAAAAAGCCCCCTGTGAACACTAGTTTTTTCCTTCCATCTCCTGTTACCTGAAATCAGGATGGTTACAAGTTACAGTTCTATTCTTTTTTATCTTTAGTTTCTCTCATTTGGCTAGAGCAGAGATTTAATAAGCAGAAGGACTTTCAGAAGTGAGTGTTCCCCATTATGGGGATCAGGTCCCCAAGCTGCATGTCGGGCACACTTGACAGAGTGTCTTCTCTGCAGCCACCAGCTGCTAATTTACTTGTCACGCCACCTCCTCCTCCTCCTCCACCAGACTCCCAGTGGGATCCTGCTGCCTCAGCTTAATGACTTTGTTTACACCTAATTGTCTGCTCTGAAACCAGCTAATACCTTCCTCCTCCCCACCCCTCTCCTCCTGCCCACTGGTTGACCTCCATCCATCCCCCTGAGTGTTCATGGGCAAAAGTGTTCACCAGACATGCTGGGGGAGGTCTGTGGTGAAGGCTAAGGTCTGGATAGGTTGATCCTTCAGGATTACACCTGCTCTTTGGTTCTTGCTGCTGTGCAACCCCAACTGATGGCTCTTACTGGGAAGGAACAAAAATAGCAGCTGTGCTCTGCAGACCTATAGGGGAGAGGCAAGCACTGCAGTCTGTAGCTTGCCATAGAGGATGTGCTAGTGATGGAGTCAGGATTGGTGCCCCTTTTGTAGCTGGTGGTTGGGAACACTCACTGTGAAAGAAACTGGTGTGAAGGAGTGAGCTCAGGGCTGGCATTCCCACAGGGAGTGTCCCTCCAAGCACTGCCAAGGGATGAGAGGATGAGTCTGAGAGCGAGAAAGCTGCCCTCTATTTTGAAGGTCTTGGAGCTAGCCAAGCTTCATCTTTTATTTATTTTGTTCTCCCTAGTGATTCAAAAACAACAACTTGGTAGGTGATATAAAAATATCTCCAAGGTTGTCAGTTTGGCATTAAAATGTCAGAGAGCATATGTCTTGTTCTCTCCTAGTGCTGGGGAAAACAGAACAGGTTATAAAAATCCTGTCTGTTTGCAGACACTGTATATAATAGTCATGAAGGAAAAGGCAAAATTCAGCAAATATATCCCCCCCCCCCAACACCTCCCCTCCCAGTGGGGAGCACAAAGGACTGTGCAGAATCAGCCAGAGCTGCTTCTGTGCAACATCTCCTTTGGCTCTGACCATGCTCAGGGAACGTGACACTTCCCCAAGATCCACAAGGACCTTTCCAACCTCCAACAGGCAGTGGCCTGTTTATTACAATACTTGAAATAATGATCTTTGTAAGAACCACACTTCAAACCACTGCTGCCCTCTGGTACTGCTCTGCAGGGCATTGCTGTGAAGTGAGGAGCAGCAATTGCAAAGGCACTTGGCCTGGCTTGTCTGGGGCTGGGTGATGGGAATGCACCAAGCAGGATCAGTCCCATATAGCTCTGGGATCAGCTTCACCTTTGCTTTGAGATCAGTGGTGTATGCTTGGAAGTGAACATTAACCCCTGACCTGAGTGTCTGAGGCTCTGGAGAGGATAGGCTGGGTCTGTGTGTGGGTGCAATGTGAGGCACTATGGCTTGGCTTGCAGATAAGGAAGTTTGAGAAAGAGAATATAGTAGAGATAGCCCAGACTGGGGTAAAAAGAAGTCATCAAAGGAGGCATTGATGTTCAACAAAGTCTCCCTGACGCCCAGTGTGGTGTGTGAGGATCAAAGTGTTTGCCCACGGAAGCAGATGCCAGAGCTGCATCACACCCTGCCAGCACAAGGTGTGGAACAGGAGAAGATGGGCAAATCCTTTAGCAACTAGCTGGAAGTGGTCAGCTATCCCTGCCAGGGCAGCAGTCAGATGAGCAGGTTGGTGACGGATGAGCAGGTGAACATCTCTGTGTTTGTGTGCGTGCAGGAAGGTGGGAGTGATGGATTTGGCCAGCACAGCAGTGTGTGATGCCAATGCAATGCAGGCAGGGAAAGCCCCACAGAGTGCCCTGGGCAGGCACTGTGGGCACTCACCAGCTCCTTGGCACATGGCTTGGCTCGTTAGCACAGGCTCTGACGGGCTCCTGGCTAGTGGCTGCAGAAATCTGGTATTCTGGGCAAGACAAGGACTGTGTCAGCAGCTGGAGCAGGAAGGCATGAGATACAGGGGGTGACTGCTCTGGCCCAGCTCCTGCAGTGTTGGTTAGCTGGGATGGCAGATGGTTGTGACGTGGTTGCTGTCTCAGCCATTTGTCCAACTCTATCTCGGGTGCCAACAGTCATCAGGGAATAAGAGGGGTGATCTCTAGGCTGGTGTGGGCTGTTGTCTGCCTTGCTTTCCATTTTCATAGGATCCTCTTCAATCTCCAACTGGAGAAAAATGTCTTTTTCAAACTTCACCTCTTCCAAAGCTTTTCTTTCCCATTCATCCAACATATACCTATACTTCCTCTTACAGTCCACCCAGATCTCCCAAATACAATCAGCATGTAGTGACTTTTATTTCAATTTGGTCTTTATCTCCAGATGCTCATGGGATGGATCTATTCGCTGTAGCTGTCCATGAATTTGGCCATGCCATTGGCTTGACCCACATCTCTGCCATAGAGTCTATCATGAGACCCTACTACCAAGGTCCTGTGGGGGATCCTCTGAAGTATGACCTGCCTTACGAGGACAAAGTCCGAATCTGGCAGCTCTATGGTAAGTCTGTGTCCCTCAGCTGGCTCTGGCCCATTTCTGCCATGGGGCATGCTGGAATAGCTGTTTTCTGGGGTGAGTGGAGCTGGTGGGGAGGATGGTGTTCCCTACTACTGCTTCTTTGTCTTTCCACATAGGAGTCAGGGAATCTGTGTCCCCCACAGCCAAGCCTGAAGTAGGCAAAGCAGATGACCATCCTATCCTGCCAGAGCTGCCAGAGAACCGCTCCACTGTCCCGTAAGTCATGTTTGTTCCTTCCCTGCAAAGGATGTGCAGCAGTGAAGCTCCACTTAAGCATCAATATCCTGCTCACTCTGGCTCTGGTATTTTTCTCTGGACCTCTGAATATTTCCCTAAGACTCAAGTTTTTACTCATCTTAATGGAGATTTGTCCCCATCACCCTTAAGTAAATTCATTCTTGCTGGAATTTTAATCAAACTTCCTCAGCAGTATCCTGAATTGCACAAGCATAACTTAGCTAAATCTTTCCACAGTGAGCAACTCCCTAATGTGCCTGTGTTGGTGAATATTGGAACAAGTAGACTGATAGCCTGACTCCAACACAGGTTTGCATTGGCAAAGGATTGCTTACACTGAGTGTCATCAAGCAACCAGTGTACCCTTATTAAAGGAATTTCTGGATCTAGCTCATGAATAAATGTTGGAGTTACCAAATTGTTTTACTACAGGGCAGCAGGACAGTTAAGAGACACTGAACAAAAAGGCAGGAACTGATGGTCACACACATTTTTGCCAGATATCAGGAGAGCTCCAAGTGAGAGTGGCAGAGATGGAGCAGGTCACCCTCACCTCCTTGTCCTTTTTCTGAACATGCTGAATGCCATTAGTTATCTTTCTTCTTGTGTAGCTTTTAATGGCACTTGTCCACAAGGCTCTGTGTGGCCATGTTTTGACCTAGAAACATGAGAGCTTTTCTCCCTGATCTTCTCTGAGACTATCAACTCACGCCAACAGCAGGAGGAGCAGGAAACTTGTTCATGCCAACCCCTTGTTCCTGCCCTATGTGCTGGGAGGGTGGATGGAGTTCACCTCCACATCTATCATTTTGTGGCCAAAGAGGGCTGTGGAGCTGTTGCTGGCAGCCCAGCACAACTCTTCTATCAGCAGATTAGATTTATGCCTCCTTGTCACCCACAGCAGCTTTTCCATGCATGTTCCCAGCATCCTCTCCACATCCTCCATCAGTCATCATTTCTTACATGGGCTTTGTGGCTCTCTCAGTGCCTTTCCCACCCACCTTGTTAAAGCAGCTCCATATCTCAGCTGCCCCTTGCCAGGTGGCTTTCACCAGGTATCTTTCACCAGGTATCACATCGCATCATTGCTCCTCCAGATCCCTCTGTTTAGGCTCAGCTGCTTTTTGCTTTGCAGCTCTGTCACCTCTCAGTGGCATTTTGGAGCTTAGCCTTGGAGCAGCAACATCCTAAGCCACTGGAGCGAGAGGCTGCTTGGCTGTTATCCACGTGTCCTGCTGCCCTGGGGCAGCCACCGAGCCACACTGTGCCACTGGGGAGTGGGAAGCCAGCTCAGCCCTCACCAGCTACATGAGCTGGTAGATGTAGAGTGTGTCCTTGCTTGACTCCTAGCAATGGCCTCTGGAGGTCCTGGGATGTCTGCCACAAGCTGTCTCGAGGCTGAGGGTTGCCTGAGCTCACCTTGGAAAATCCTCATGCACGTGGCTGGGTTTGAGCATCAGGAATGACAGATGGGCACAGCCTGTGGTGTTCTGCTGGGGGCTCCAGGAGCAGGGAGGTGTGGTCCATGGGATGGGAGTCATTGGAGGGACACAGCCCCTCATTGCCTGCCTGGGCCATGCTCACCTGAACATCTCTCCACAGGCTCAGGCGGGACATGCCTAACAGGTGCAACACACACTTCGACGCGGTGGCCCAGATCCGGGGAGAGGCTTTCTTCTTCAAAGGTGAGCACCCACCTCCAGTGCAGTGTTAGCCCATGGTCTGTGCCTGTGTCTCCCTGAGGTGGCATTGGTGTGACAGCACCACCCTGCAGCACAGTGTCAGCCAGGCTGGGGTGGGTGGTGAAGATGAACTGGCTTGGGGTTTGTGGGCTGTGGGGCCACAGACCCAGGGAAGCATCTCATACACCTGGAGGCTGTGAGGGAGGAGGAGATGGGATGAGGTAGAGGTATACAAAAGATTGAGCAGTACATGAAGCATTTATTTTATGCAAAAAAAGAAGAAAAATAAAGAAAAAGCCAGTGAAACTAAAACACCATTTATTTTAAAATCGTAAAAATAGGTGTCGTTTAACCCAGACCATAGTGAACCTGTGGGACCTGTGGCCAAGAGCAGTTCAGTGGCACAAGCAGGTTGTGGTTCTGGTGGGTGGTTAGGGAGGAGAGACCACTAGAGGCAAACCCACCTGCCCAAGTCACCATGGTGTGCAGCTGTTGCAGTGCCCACAGGGATGTGTCCTAACACCAGAGCGGGTGTGTGTCCACGCGCCATGTCCTGGGAATTAATGCTTCCCTCCAACGTGACAGACAGCAATTTGTACTCTGACTGATCACACAGGACTGGTGAAGAACTAAACTCTGATATTTGCACTATCAGAGTCAAAATTGGGGTTAAACCAAGGGTAACCAGAGCAGCAACAGCACTCCACTGCTTTTTGCCTGGACACCTCCAATCTTCCTTTCCTCCCAACCTTCCCTAATGCTGTTTGCTGTGCTCAAAGGCAATGTATGCACAATTTCAAACCATCTGGTTTCGAGCCAGCGAACACTTGCTGTCTGTGTGTGCCCAGAGAGCCTGGCTGTTGACAAGGGTCCCATCAGTGTCTTCTCAGCTGTACAGAGCCTGTGGAGGCTGGACTCTCTGGACTTGCTTTCTCATCTTTCCAAGATGTAAAAATGCCCACTGGGCACTTCTTGCCTTCTCTGGCCACCATTTGGCCACCCCAAAGCCATCCAGCAGGGAAGAGGAAGCTTCTGCCCCAGGGGATGAGCAGCAGCATTCAGGCATATATAACCCATCTGGGTAACACAGTGTGAGCCTTGGGTCACAGGCAAGAATGGCAAAAGGGCTTCAGAGAGTTTGGTGTTGTCTGTGCCCTCAGGGGAACACAATACAGAGGCTGTTCAACAATGTTATCTGTTCAGATGCCAGCTCCAAAAAGCCACAGTGAAGAAGGAAAAGTCAGAGACATGGACTGGTGGCAGGATAAAAGGCTGTCTGTCTTTCAGAGGGGAAAAAGATGATGAAGTCAAGAGAAATTCATCTCAGTGTCTATTTTTGGATATTGTGGCCAAAATGCAAATGCAAAGAGCACTGGGTCAGTGGGTACCAGCTGCACATCTGCTCCAGAGCCCAGCACCTCCCTCAGAGCCCCCATTGCTGCCCCCAAACCATCCTGGGCACCAAGGAGCAGGGTTGTCATCTCTGGAGCAGGATTTTAATGACCTCCCGTGCTGAGCTCCCCACATCGATGGACATTTTGTTCTGAGCTGGTCCAGCTGGTTGCCTAGCTGGTGAGCAGCCTCTCCCACTTCAAAGGCACAGGGACTGGAGCTCCTCAGAGCTCCCAGGCTTGTATTGAAGGCAGTGGTGGGTTGTCCACACTCAGGAATCACCACTTGCTTTGATGTAGGTGCCTCACTACAGACTCCTGAAGTTTTAAACACCTTTGGCCTGTGTGTGTGTCTGCATGGTGTGTGCAGTAGTCTTGCCAGAGGCAGCCAAAGTCTGAACAGTGTGATACACAGCTGGGATCAAAATTACATGGGATTAAAGAAAGCAATTTCCTCAACCCATCATCCATGTATGGCGGCAGAAGGACTTCACACTTGACTTTCCTTGTGCTCAGTTTGCCAACTCAGAGCAGGGTTTAAATGAAGCATTTTTAAACAAACGTGGGGTTGGGATTTTATTTTTTAAATGATGATATTTCTGCATGCTAATGGAAGCAACTCCCCCATGGATCTAGCTTTGGCTGATGATCATTCATGCAACAGCAGCACTTTGGCAAGCAGGCTAGGCCATGAGAAACCATAAGCCCAGTCAGACTGGGGCCATCATGCTCAGAATTCCTTGCTACTTAACTGCTTTATTTTCCTTTTTTTTCCTTGTAGCTTATCAGAAACCCAGTTCAACTCAGAGCTTGGGCTGTGCCTGACTTTGGGGGTAGCTTGAAGGCTTTCTTGCTGCAGCTGCTCACCCGCTGAGCCCGTTGCTCACAAAGGGTTGAAATGTCAAAAGCACTGAGGCTTCCCTTCGTGTCTCTGATGAGCCCAGGGCACTTCAGAGTTCAGATACTGATCTGCTAAAGAAGGAATTATGTGGAGTTGTATTTCTTGCTAAAAGAGTGAAGATCAGGCTGTGCCTAGTGCCTCGCTAATTAGAGATGCAGAGATCATCTTTATTTAATTACATATTTCCATCGATGTACAATGGCCACCAAATTTGAATCCTCTTTTTTTACTACATTCTTCAAAAGAATCTGTAATTATGGCAATTCCTACCATATTGGAATGTATTATTCATTTGTGTGTTTCAGTCAGATAGAGCAAATATGCAAACTGGAGCAGAAGAACAAGAATATGATATAAATCCATATAATTAGAATAAAACTCCCTCTCTGCAGATGTTTAAGTGTTAGAGTTTTGCCTCCTGCATTATTAGGCTAAGATCCAATTTCCATAAAATTTTAAAAGCTGGTGTCACAATCTGCTGGCTCTGGAGAAAGGGCTGAGTGTCATGAATACAAATCTGAAGATGTGTCTTTGCTTTCTGTTGCTTATCTCCCTCGGGGATCCATGCAAGAGCAGATGTAAATAACATGCAATAATTTCTAACAGGCAATAACAAATATGAGACAAAGTTGAGACTTGCCTCTTAGACATCTTACTCCAGCTCACATCACTGTGCAGAGCTCTCCAGGGAAAACACAGCATGGAATGTGCTGCAAAACCTCAGGCTGAGGATCCCAGAGCCAGTGCAGAGTTGGGTTTTGGGCTGCCCCTAAAAAGCATTAAGACTCCTTGGGAAATTCCATGTCAGGCTCTTTGAGCAGGAAAATGTTTGTCATCCTTTCCACAGAGGACAAATCTGTTTCCTTTTCCATTACCCAAAGTATTCCACAAATACCCCAAATATTCCAGAAATACTCTTTCCTGGCTGGGGCAGTGCTGCTGCAGGTGCTGAAGTGTGTTTGCTGGCACCACCACTGCATTCATCCCAGGAACTCTGCAGGGCTGCAGTCCCTGCTTGTCCTGCACCTCTAGATGGTACCAAAGTCCTTAATTGTGCCTCCTTCCCTACCTCAACCCTTCCGGATTTACTAATATGGTTTCCTCCTCCTCTATTTTCTTACTCCCTGTCTTCATTTACAAAAAAACCTCAAATTTCTGTGTTTCTTTGTAACATCCTAGACATTTCCAAACTTGAAAGCAGCTGAGCACCCTGTGTGCAGGAAGCTGTGGCTGCTCCAGGAAAGGAGGAACAGGGATGTTTTTTTGAAGGGTCTCACTAGAGGCTGCTGGTGTCCCGTGCAGAGAGGGAGGGAGGAGATGAAAAGCTCCTCTTGCCTGCCCCAGCTCTGTGTCTCTGCTTCAACCGTGGACAGGAGTACAACAACTCCAGTGCAATGTCCAGATGAATATTTTAATCCAAAAAAAGTGTATTTCTTCTAATGGCTGCCAGAAATAGAACGTGGTTGCAGCTGCTGCTGGAAAGCAGGATGGCTCTAATTCATGGCTCCCATCTCATGCGCTTTGCTTCCTGCTGCTGCCTCCTGTCTGGTGCTCATCCCTGGGAGAAGATGGGTTGAGTGTGGTTCAGTAATGTCCAGTCTGTCCCTCCAGGCAAGTACTTCTGGAGACTGACCCGCAATAAGCACTTGGTCTCCCTCCAGCCGGCTCAGATCCACCGTTTCTGGCGGGGCTTGCCGCTCAACCTGGACAGCCTGGATGCAGTCTATGAGAGAATCAGTGACCACAAGATTGTCTTCTTCAAAGGTGAGAGCAAACGCGGTGCTGGAGGTAGCATGTGTGTCTCCCTGCTGCAAAGCCTGGTGCTAGGGTGTCATGACAGTGTTTTGTCCCCTCCTGCAGGCAGGAGACACCAGTGCCAACTGCTGAGCATCTCTCAGAGCACATCTAAGACCTGTTGTCCATGAGTAAGGCCAGGAGAAACCAGTTGGCAGGAAGGGCAGGCAAAAGGTAGCAGTCATGTTCCCCAGAAAATGAGGGAAATGTCCCTGAAGATAAAATTCAACCAAATGTAACTGCAATCTGATCTTCTCAAGAATGAAACACAAGCAGGAACCACCCACACGAACACTTCACAGGTGTCGTGTTCCTCCTTTGGCCTTTTGTCTTTTTAGTATTTGTTGCTGAGAAGAGAAGAAGTCATAGAGGGGACAAAAATGAAACTGAAGAGCTTGGTTTTGCTAATTATATTTCTGTTACTATTTTTTTTCCCCTTAAAACAGGTGGTATCATCTTCTTTTCTTATTTGAAAAACCTCACGAGTTTCTTTCAGAAGAGCTGGAGGAACAGATTAGCTCTTGATTCCTATACAAATGTCTGAGTCCCCCACACACCATCTACCCATGGTGATTAGATGCCACTCATATACTCAATGTCACCTCAGCCCCTGGCAGGCATGGACTTGTTTTGGAAAGGTTGTGCACTTGAAGTGCTAAATACATCTCAGCCCTCTGTGCTGCCCAGCTGGAAATTGCTCGTTGTCTCCTGACTGCTCTGCTCCAAACGTGGTGCAAGTATTGGTTTCAGAAATGCTGAACCAAGAGCTTCTGGCAGCAATAATTTGGTTTCAGTTCCTCCAGCCAGGCTGGAGGGATGGCTGATGTCCCGTGCAAGCCTCTGTGCTCACAGAAGCCTTTCCCAGCAGAGCCAAAGCTGACCCAGGCCACTGGCACACTGAGCTCCACAGAGCTGTGCCAAGCCCTGCATCTCCCCACTGAACAGCATGTGGAAAACTCTGCCATGTGTGTCCAGCTGCCTCAGGCAGCCTGCCCCACTCTCCTTCCTGGAGGGAATGAGGCCAGCTGGAGGGATAAGGGAGTTGGGATTGTTTAGCCTGGAGAAGAGGAGGCTCAGGGGAGACCTTATCACCCTCTACAACTCCCTGACAGGAGGTTGGAGTCAGGTGGGGGTTGGTCTCTTCTCCCAGGCAACCAGCAGCAGGACAAGAGGGCACAGACTCAAGCTCTGCCAGGGGAGGGTTAGGTTAGATATTAGGAAGAGATGTTTTACGGCGCGAGTAATCAGACATTGGAAGGGGCTGCCCAGGGAGGTGGTGGATTCACCATCCCTGGAGGTTTTCAAGCTGAGACTGAATGTGGCACATAGTGCCATGGTCTAGTGACCACGGTAGGGTTGGACTCGATGATCTTGGAGGTCTCTTCCAACCTGGTTGAGTCTATGATTCTATGTGCCAGAACTGGCATCTTGCCCCTGCAAGGCAGAACACTCCATGGCCATGCATGCTCTGTGTGTGTTAGTCCTGCTTAGCTCCTAACATTAAACTCAGGATTTTACTTCCATCTGTAAAATACTGTCCCATTCTTTCCCTCCAGCGCTGTTTCATTGATCCTTGGACAGAAACCAAAGCACACAAATTACCTTGGCCTCTAAGGTCCTGCTGCTGATACATGCCCATGCGTTTAAGTGCCTTTTCAGATATTCTAGAAAACCAAGGGAGGAAAAAGCCTGATCCTTAAAATAGGTTGTGTAATACCTAAAAGGACACTGCAGGTTCCCGAAGAGATCTTGTACAAGCAGCAAAACTGTCACAGTGGTTAAAGGATTACAAAGGAATTGAGACTACTGGGTTCATTTTCTTGTTCTGCCACAGACCAGGGCCCAGTCATGTCATGCTTCATTTTTACTGGGAAAAAAACCCATATTGATGGTTCTCTCCAACCCAAGGTAGGGCCGAGGCAGTGCCTGTGTAGGACACTTGAAGAGCAGTGAGCTGCTTAGATAGGATTTGTCCAGCCCTTACATCCCTTAAAATCCACAGGTCCTTCAGCCTCTCTGGCTCTAGAAAGTGTGATGATTTCCCTTCCAAAATGGGACTGCACTTGGCTTCTTAGGAGCTGAATACCAGGCAGAATGTGCCCAGTTTGCCCACATAAGCTGCATGTAACTTCTTGCAGTTGGATGTCAGGCAGAAATCCAAGGGGCAGAAAACCAAATGCCTCCACCAAATACTTAAAAGTGACAACTGTACTAACACTGTTGACATGTTCGTGTTCTGGGACCGTCATGCTTTCAGGATCGAAGGGGGGGCTATGTCCATGGAGAACCCAACACAAAAAAGCAACTATTCAAAGCTAGAGGTTCCCCACTGGGCTGACCCCTTCCCATTCCCATTCTTAAATGCCAAGAGGTCAGTCCTGATGCTTGTCATCACAGCAAATCATGAGCCATCAGCTCAGCTCAGCTGTGGGGAATGCTGGTTTTGGCTGTGAAGTAAATGTGATTTTGCTCTGTGCTTCTTTCCTTTCCACAGGAGATAGATACTGGGTCTTCAAAGACAATAATGTGGAGGAAGGATACCCACGGCCCATTTCAGACTTCGGTCTGCCACTGGGAGGAATCGACGCCGCTTTCTCCTGGGCCCACAATGACAAGACTTATTTCTTTAAGGACAATCTCTACTGGCGCTATGATGACCATGAGCGGAGGATGGATCCTGGGTACCCTTCAGAGACCATCCTGTGGAAGGGCATTCCAAGCCCTTTAGATGATGCCATGAGGTGGTCAGATGGTGAGTCTATATGGCATTCACAAAACACAGACATGAAACTCAGTGCTATACTGAGCTGTAGCCCCTTTGACCTGGTCTGCTGACATGAACTGCTGAGCTCCAGATGGGATGGCAGTTCCTGGTGTCTGGATGCTGAAGAGGGAGGTGGACTTCCAGCCAGAGCTCCCCATACTGCTCCCTAAAAGACTTTGTAATTTCAAACAGGCAACCAAAAATACCCGGGGGGGGCTAATAATTTGATTTTATTAAAAGAACACAGTTGATCTTGTTTTGCAGTGATTTTTATCCTATTATAGCCTGATTTGGTCCTCACTGATTTTGTTGTCATTGGATTTTCAGCTGGATATATAAGGATTGTGGACAGAAAATACTTCAAAGGGAGATGTTGTCCCCAGAATTATGACTTATTTTCCAGGGATGAGATTTCTCAGTGGTTTCTTCCCCCTGAAAAGCCACAAAAATTTTGTCACAGGAGATGTTTACAACCAGCCATTCACTCGCAACCAAGTGGCACTTCTAGGGTTTATTTAGTGGCAACTTAACGGTGTAATAGCAATCATTAAACCAGCCAGAGGGAAGGGCTAATTCCAGAGGCTTCTCAAGCTGAATTTCCGAAACCATTGAGAGTGTCAGGCCATTCCCATGGATAGGAATCTTCCATAAGCATGGGACTTGCTTAGAGAAATTATAACCTCCCAGTTCAGAGTGGACAAAGTGCACCTGAGAGCAGAAGGTTCTCAGCACCCTGGTTATTTATCTGAGCCCAGGGATAGCAGTATGCACCCCAAGTCCTTAATGTGTATGTGAGGTCCTCAGCCTTACTATGTTCTGATAGCAGTATGCACCCCAAGTCCTTAACGTGTATGTGAGGTCCTCAGCCTTACTGTGCCCTGTTCCAAGACTGTCCACTGATGGAGAGGTGTGTGTGGTGTGCTGAGCTGTGGGTTCACAGGGCCTTGACCCCCCCCAAAACTAGGAGGTTCATCTGCTCTAGGACCCAGCACAGAAGAGGTGACATCTCACCATTCACCTCTAACTGTCTGGTAGCTCCTGGTTGGTATGAGAGGACCCAACCAGGTGTCTCACCATTCACCTCTAACTGTCTGGTGGCTCCTGGTTGGTATGAGAGGACCCAGCCAGGTATAGCATCATCTTCTGGAGCATCCCTCCTGCAGCAAGAGGGGGTATGAGCAACAAGCAGCAGTATCTCATGTGCCTTCACTCCCTGGGGCTCAGCAGGGGTGGGAATGCTCTTCTGCTCTTCCAAGTGCTCCTGTGCCCTTCCACTGGGAGAGCATCCATCGCTGCTCACTTTGCCTTTGGGTTTTGATCTCTTTACAGGTGCAAGTTACTTCTTCAGGGGAAAGGAGTACTGGAAGGTACTGGACAGTGACCTGGAGGCCCAGCCTGGTTACCCCCAGTCCATTGCCAGAGACTGGCTGGTATGCAGTGACATGCAGGCTGACTCCCCAGAGGCAGCTGGGAGCAGCAGGACTGGGGCACGTTCCAAACCAGGGCAGCATGACGAGAGCCGCTCCGAAAACGGCTACGAGGTCTGTTCCTGCACCTCAGGAGCCTCTTCCCTATCCCTGCAGGCTCCCCCCGTGCTCAGACTGACAGCCAGCCTCGTGCTGATGGCTGTGTGGACAGCAGCACTGCTGTGTGCAGCCCTATGACAGCTCATCCCACCCACGGGACAACACCATGGTGCTCCAGGATACAATTCCATGATGCTAATTGGTGCAAGCAGAGAAAAAAAAACATTCCTAGGAACATGCCAGTGAAGGGTTTGAATTCTCCATGAGAAATGAACAATGGGTTTTTTGTTGTTGTTTTGAGTTCTTTTTAATTTTAGTTTAAAGGTCTAATAACAGATTTTGCTTTCTGCACCTTCTTATTTCCCCATCCGGTTAAAGATGAGAGCAGCCTAATGTTGAATTTAGAAATGTTCCATAGAGATGTGTTGCTCTGGATGTTTACACACAGCAAATGAGGGAGGGGAGAGCTACTGTGATGGAGTGGGGACAGAAGAGATGCTGCTGAAAGGCAGCAAGGCGGGAGGTGGGAGGTGGTAGTTATATGCTGACACAATGTACACATCCCATTGGATGTACTAGGTAGAAAGAAGCTGTGACTCCACTAAGATTAACTGCAAGGTGATCATTTTACTGTCAAACCTGCTGTGGTCACTGGTGCCTGGGTAACCTGTATAAATTTCTACGAGTCAGAAACACCTTTGCCTTTCAGAAGGCAGTGCAGCTTATCTTTGTATCCGAGTCATTGGAATTTAACATTTTCTCTAATAAATCTTGGCTGCCTACACACAGAGATCTCCCAGTCCTCTGCCAGACCAAGCCTGCCACCTGCAGCAAGGTGTTGACTGCTGAGGCTCTGAGCAGCTTCACCTCTAGATGAGCAACAACCTTGCTGAGCACAGCCAAATGAGATGCAGTTACATCCACTGCCCCAGCCTAATCCATGCACAGGAACTCCTGCTCTTGGAATTCCTGTGTCAGGTTGGTTTCTGTTTTGGGAGGGATCAAGATGTATTGCATTCATTTGTGACTCTGCCATACCTGGCTGTGCTGCAGAGGATGGGCTGGAGGCAGGAGGGATGCTGCACAGTCAGCCACAAACTCTTTTTGATGCCTCTGCCAGAAGTTTGGAGCAGCGAGAGCAAGGTCAAGCGCTGCACTGGGATGTTCCTGTTTGATTTTTTTTTCCTCACTGCTAATCAATTTTCTGCAGTATAATTTGGGCATCTGAGAGTCCTTGAAAATGGTGAGCGAGAACTTTTGCTAGGAACTGTGATAGAGATGTCAGAGAGGGCAGGGTCCTCCAGTCTGCTGTGTTAAAGGAGCAAAATGGGCAGCAGCTGCTGAGACACACTGCTTTTCTCTGCCCTGCTTCTGTAAAACTCCTGCAGAAATGTCTCTTGCTGCCCTGCCAGGGCAAGTTTCTGGGGCAGAACCAACAACAGGCAGTGTCACTGCAGGACCCAAGGCAGCTCCAGTGACTCTGGTGCCAGCCAGGGCTTTTGTCATGGGGCCAGGTGTAATGCAAAGCCCTCCGTGGCACAGCAAGAAAGGCAGGAGAAGTGCACTGTTGCTTCCTGACAGAAAAAAAAAAAAAAGAGGTCACCTTGAGTTTCCCTCTCTGCTATTTGCATTTTTAAACAGTCCCAAGTGTTCATAGGGTGCAGCTATTTTCAGGACGATGTGCTACAGTGTGATTTTATGGGTCATGAGTCCATGAAACATCCCAATTAAAGCATTAAATATCCTTTTAAAAAATGCAAACCAAAAAAACCTCTGGCGTAGCAGCTCCCTCTGCTGAGTACAGCTGCCTCTGATGTTCCCACTGCACTGGTCCTGCTCTGCTCTGAGCAACCCCACATCCCACCTCTGCCTGCTGGGCTGAGCAGAGGCTGCCAGGGCCATGGGAGATGGGATATTCCTTCGGTTCACATTGCTTTTCTTCCTCTTGAGTCATGAAGACACAGCTTTTAGTCCTTTAATCGTTGCTGGGGTGACACTGCACAAATGTCAGCATGTTACAGATTCCTCTTGGAGATGCAGCCAGGTAGGAGCACAGCATCCCAGGGAAGACACCTTCTCTTTTTTTTTCCTTCTTTCATTTTGTTCATCCACAAAAGAACTATCCAGAAGAAGAATGAAGAATCAGAAGAGGCAGGGATGTGGCTAGCACTGCTTCCGTGGCTTCTCCAGCCCAAGCAAGGAGCCTGTTTTGGTGACAAGGACCAGTGGCTCTGCAGCTGTGCTGATGGGGTTGCTAAGTTGAGACTTCTGGGTTAAGTTAAATTAAGTTAAATTAAGTTTATTTAGCACGGGGGACTGTGATTTACAAATAAAGCCTGTGAAAAGGCTTTCAATGCACCCTTCTCTCCTTCAAATTAGGCATTTTGATGGTCAGAAATGGAGCAGGAATTGGGGCACTGCTTCTGCCAGACAACCCTCGGGGAGGATGGAGAAACTCTGCTCTCTGCCATGTGGTTGCTCAGCCTCTCCCCCAGTTGCTGGCAAAGCCACCCTGAAGTTGCTATTAGCTCCAGATGTGGCCACAGGAGGCTTGAGCTCCTCTGGGATGGAAACTGCCCTGCTTTCTACTTCTGAAAAACATCCATGTCATATAAATACAGCCTCTGCCAGGCTCTCAGGCACCATCTCCATGCCCAGACTCTCTGGTCCCACCCTGAGTCCCTGGGCTGGCTCTCCTCCACAGCTGGAAAAACTACTTCCACCCTCTGAAAAAAATTACCTGAGCATCATATTGCTATTGCACATTGCCCAGTCTGTATATTTCCCAATTATTTAAATTCTTGGAGGAGTTTGTGAGGTGAGCTCAGAGTTGAAACACTGCTATGTAATAGGAAGGATGAGAATTTAAAAAGGGGCACTGGCCAGCTGAACCCTGAGTGTTTAGAGCTGAAAACCTGAGTCTATGGCAGCTCTGCTTGCTGGGGCTGGCTCCAGGGTCCCAGTCAAGGTTTTTTCCTGGCTCTCACTGTCACCCATCCCCAGGCTCAGCCAGTCCTTGAGGCCTTTTCTGTTTTGCTGACATAAAGAAAAGCAAAAGGAAAAGCAAAAAGAGTAAGGAGCAGCTTTCAAATGACACAGCCAAGGCAATGCCTGGATTTAAAAAAAAAAAAAGAATGTGTCATCTCAGACAAGACCTAGTATTTAAAACCTTAAGAAACAAAATAAAGATATTGAGAAGAGGCTCATCATTACTTGCTGAGTCAAACCATAAGAAAGGCATGTGTGCTGTACAAGGTTCCTGCCTCCCATAGTCCCCTTAGAGCTGAGGGCAAGAATCTCAGCCCTTACTCCACAGGGCTTTCCTAAAATGGGACTTTTTTCTCTATTAAGAATACTATTCCTCTTCTCAACCAATAATTTGGAAATGCCCTTGCACAGCTGTGGGCCATGAGACCAGGTGGTGGGGAGCAGCTCAGAGCTCAGGTGGAGCTGCCCTAGATGATGCTCTCTATAGAAGGTGGGCACATGCTCCTGAAACCTTCCTGCCTTGCTGCAGCTCCTGGATATGGAGCTCTCTTTTGCTTCTCAGATGGCTGTTTGGGAGAGGACAAATGCCAGAGCTGCTTCCAGCCCTGCCACCTTGATTTTTCCATCCCCTCTGCCAGGTGAGTGTGATGCATGAGCTGGGGCTGAGCCTGATGCTGCTGTAAGCAGCACGAGCAAGCCCAAGGGATGGTTTGTCCAGGAAAAAGGGGCTTGTTCTGGCTCTCTGTGTCCCAGCAGTTCCTGGTAAGCTGCTGCTGGGGATCACTTTACTTGTTTTTCTCTTGAGATTTCTGGACAAGGGGAGCTGACTGGTCTCATGGGGCTAGAACAGGCTAGGGGAGGGATATAAGACAGCCAAAACCAGAGAGTATGTAGCTGAGTAATAGTCTATAAGAAGACCAGCTTGGGCTAAGAATAGGAGAGGGTAGGAAAACTGGATGGTATGTGGAGGATTTCTGCAGGCATGTGCTAGGCCCTAAGTGGGGGAGCATAGGGGCTGTCTCTTGATTTTCTGCAGTACAAGTGATTACTGACCTCGTGACATGAACAAAACTACTATATGAGCTGCCAGAACAATTCCCTGTCCTCCACCCAAACTTCTACTCCCTGGTTTAAAAAAAAAACAAACCAAATCCCAAACGTCTGGGATTTATGATTCTGTCAGCAGTGAAACCCTAACTCAGCACTAGGTTGCCAGCACTGATGGGCTTATTGCCCAGTGGTATGGAAGGGTCTGGGTATTTTGTTTTGTTTGGGGGTTTTTTGTTTGCCTTTTTTTTTTGTTTGTTTGATTTTTTTCTTTGTTGTTGTTTATTTATAAGGGCTTTGAGCTTGACTGCACACCCAAACTACTCAAATAAAATGAGATCCAGGCCTGGCTTTCACTGGAGCAGTGATCAGTCTGCTCTGAGCAGCTTTCAACAAGCACAGCTTGGCAGGGGCAGAGCTGCATTGGCAACAGAGCCACTCTGCTGTGGAGAGGACAGGACGTCACAAGCTTCCCAAGGAACTGCATCAAGATTTATGGGTTGTGCTGTTTGGGTTGTGGCAACTTGTCTTTGGGTTTCATGTGAGGAAACACATCCTGGGGAGAGGTATTCCCACACCAAATCTGACAAGCCAAACTGAGCCAATGTGCTGTGCAGCTGGAAACCTTGGGAGCAAAAGGCTTTCTCTCTCAGACATTTGGTGTGATCCTCTCTGTCAGAACAAGAGAAGGATTTCTGGAGGGAGCACAGGTGACTTTGTGGAAGCCTGTTTGTATGTGAATTCCACTAAATTCCACTCCACTAAATTCCAAATGCTCTATTGTGCTTCCCACCCTATCTGTACTGCGGAAATAGCCAAGTTGGGATGACCCCTGGCATGTTCTCCCTGTGGAGAAGGGCAGGGAGGTTGGTGGTTACAGGGTGGCTCAGTGACCATGTCTCCTTCCTCTTCCCAGCCTGGCAAATTGATGGTTATTCTGGATCTGAAGGAATGGAAATAGTAGAATAGTTTGGGGAAGAGAAAACGGTAGTGTTGGGCCATCTTCATATGTCAGTGTCCATCATCAGCTCTCTCATGGCACCATGGCCATCTCACATCCTGCAACTCCTCTGCTCCTGGGCACATGGCCTGCTGCTCTGTGT